CTGTTCTTATCCAACGGTACGCATATACGCCCTTCACTCACATCGCCGGCAACACGATTGATACGATCTGCAACCTCCATCTCCTCCTTAGTGATGTACTTCGACGGTAGCGAGCAGTCCGTCACTATGGAGGAGAGGAGAGAGGCAGGCAAATCGATCGCATTCGTGTCCACCCATACACGCAGCTCTCTCTCCAGGGCGTGGTGCTCTCTGTGCATCTCATGCATCGCAGGAAGAGCCATGTTATCCTCTATGCGCGCACACGCACCATTAGGCAGGGGAAACGACGTGTCGGCCATCGCTATCTCTTCCTCGCTGACACTCTTGGCGTATGCAATGTGATTGCATAGCACCCGCCGATATGACCGGGCAGGTGAATTGCACAAAGATGTGCTCGACAAAACAGCACGACACCTCTCGCTGCCCACCCCTTGAGCAAGAACCAAATCACGCAAATGGGCACGTAAACGGGCAGCAACAAAGATACTCGCAGGCACACGCAGCTTGGTACGCTCAGGCCAGACTAGATTACGGTGCTTAAAGACACCTTTCAGGCGGCGCAGGAAGTGCATCCGCCTCCCCCACACACGCAACCGATACCCCAAGCGCAAGAGACGGAAGAGAGAGTCGTCAGGCACCCGCTTCCACTCAACATGTGTCCCCTTCTGGGCCGCAAAACAGACTAGCAGCGGAGCACAGCTCGAGTCAGAATACAGGTCGATTGCACGACCTGGATGCCGCTCTTGCCATGCCTGCGACGCCTGACTGTAGCTACCCCACCGCCATGTGTGTCTGCTAAGGGCAAAAGGGCTGGGGAGAGAGAGGCAGAGTAGCTCAGCAGGCTGCCACGGCTCGTGCACAGGGAGGGGGTCAAAGCCAGGGGGCGCATGCACAGAGGGGGGCACACGACGCAACCGACATACAACGCGGTCAACTAGCGATGACTCTAGCCCTTTTCTGTACATATTGGCATCCAAGTGAGTGGAGAGAGAGCCACTGTCCATGCGTCGGCGCCGCCAGGAGCCAGGCCTGCCTCTGTGCACACCACCACCCACCAAGGCAACGTGAAAAGCCCTCGCAGCAAAGTGTGGGCATGGATTGTCGTACACATTGCCTTTCGGCTGGTATGCATGTAAAATGGAACGCTCAATCTCACGCACAACATGCAGCTGCCGGTGGGGAAGGAGAGGGAGAAAGTGAAGTGAGTCGGCGTTGTGCCGCCGCCACACACGATATCTCCTCTCTAGCCTCACTGGCTGACGCACAGCAGAGCCACGCACACGCACATCGGTCGGAAAAGGATGATGCATTTTGTGCATGTGCTCCATGTGCCTCGCATGCAGGTGCGCCGTGGAGCCAACATAGTAGATAGTAGAGTCAGGCGAGAAGAGAACATACAGCCATGCCAGTGAGTCGACAGCAAGGGGGGAAAGCGCACAAACCAATCCATGCATCCATCCACTCCACTCATGCAGTGACACGCCCCCCACTGGCTGCCCACTCACTGCGGTCGGTCTGTCTAAGTGTATGTGTGCTATGGCTACTCGTGCGGAGGCCACACCCAATGCTGTGCTGGTGATGGTGCCGATGTGAAGGATGTGTCGAGGTGGTCCTCTCGCGGCGATGGTAGGTGGCTGGGCAACCCGCTGGCCGGCCCCGATACCTGCAGCCGTCACACACACACACAGAGGTGACACACAGGGTGAGGCCCGCAGGTGTTGGTGTCAGTGCGTCAATACCCACCTGGTGCTGGTGCTGTTGCTTGAGTGAGTCGATTTCGCACCGAAGCCTATCGACCTCTACAGCCATCTGCACCACACGACACAGATACTCGTGGGGCCAATTGACATGTCACGTGCATTGCAATGCCTACAACATTCCTGTCAGTCAAGGCCGACCTGTTTCTTCTCATCGTCGATCTGATGCAGGTGCTGCTTGAGGAGCCGCATCCCATCTGGAAGGAAGAGGACAACAGCACCGCGGCAGATGAGATGGACCATGCAGTGCTCTCCTCTTGGCCCGTTTGTGTAGCTGACGCGAGATGGGCAGGTCGTTGGTGATGGCGGCCGTCAGTGGGGTCGGCGATCGACCGCCCTTGTCGATGGCCTCTCTCGCCTCCTTGACCTGGTGCAGCTCGTCATGCAGCCTGAGACACCCACCAACACCCACCACCAACGAGCGTGAATTCGTGGGCGTGTCAGCTCCTGTGTGTGCGCGTGTGTAAGGGCGTTGCAGCGTACCCGTCAATGTCTTCTAGCTTGCCCGACCAGTGTGCGGCCTCCGTGGCCGTCTGCTGCTGCCTGAGCGACTCCAAACGCACCGAACGCAACTCTGCCTGCACACGGGATGGAACACACAAGAACACACTCTGTCGACACAGAAGCGAGTGCAGCCGCCCATCGACCCTTACATACCTCCTTGGCTGTCATGTATTCCATGAGGGCCTTGACGAGGTGCAGCGGCCGGTGGCCTGTCCCTGCTGACACTGCGGACCACAAGGCCTTCCGCTGGTGGTCGTCCAGCATCGGCAGCACCGACGGGATCAGCGCGGGGATGTCGGCAATGTGGTGCTCGATCCGTGGCGGGTTGGGTAGGGCGTGCTGCAGCTCGTCCCATGTCCACTTGTCGACCGACGGTGCGCCGCGGATGCCCTTCGCCCACGAGGCCATGAGGGCGTATGGGCGGGGCTTCGTGTGTGACAGGTGCACCAGCAGCAACTTGGCAACCTCCGAATCGATGGCACTGAACCATGCACACACAAAGGGAAAAGCGACGCGTCAATTGATTCTCTCTCTGTCCACGTGCGTGCGTACCTGGCCATCTGTGCGACGCCCTCCCAGTGGTTGTCCTCGACGCACTTGCGCAGGCAGTGCAGCGACAGCGCCCGCATGGGGAAGTGCGGGATCCACACCTTCATCCGCACGTCCTTGAGAGTCACCTCCCTCACCCCCATCTCTTGGAGTGCCTCGGGCGTCAGGTTGTCGACGGTGAAGGCCATGCCCTTGTTGGCCTGCAGCAATGTGACACCGAAGCCTGTGACAGAGCTGGCGGGGTCCGAGTCGATCCCACAAGCAGCGTTGGCCGCATCGTGCAGCACCACCACTCTCGCCGGGTCACCGCTGTCGGGCACGTCCACCTCGAACACGACCGACGACGCGCCGAAGCAGTCGGCGAATCGCGTTCGGCTCGCGTGCTCCTGGCAGCTCGTCAGGCTGACCGACCAGGTCCTGACCTCCGACACCATTGTGTCTTCGGGTGGGCGGGAGGGCTCGAGGGCGAGGCCGAAGCCAGGGTTGTGCCCCTCCTCATCGTACCCGCCTGCCGTGAGGATGACGGAGGGCAGGTCGGTGACGAGGGGGTGGTCTGTGCTGTCGTCGAAGGGGTACAGGTCGATGATATCCAGGGACCACGATAAGGTCGGCTCTTCCCACACACTGGCTGGAAAAGGACAGATGCAAAGAAGGACATACATACATTTGTGCACACGATTTTGCTCTGGGCTGACCATGCGCCTCTGCGATGGTTGACGATCCGGTGGCAGCGGTGAGAAAGTCATCCAGCTGCTGCCTCGACACGTCAAACTGGCCATGGGAGATCGCCCTCGCAATACCGCTAAGCAGCCAGATCGCCGCGTGGGAGCACCGCTGCCACTGCCATTCGTGACCGAGTCTCCGCTGCCAGTGCTCCTGAATCACCAACGGTCTGTTGATGAGCCACGGCGCCAGACACCTCGGCACATCCTCGCTCCCGAGGATGAGCTCGGCCACACACGCGTTGTCGCCTGCACCGCACCCATCATAACAGGGTAGCACAGCACAGGGGGTAGCATTGATGGGGGTATCATTGCATCGATCTCTCACGCCCTCTCACAACAGGGGATGTTGTTGCGTGCCGTGTGTACCGAAGCTGTCGAGTAGCCCGTTGGCGATGTCTGCGTCATCGAGCCGGCCGCACAGCAGGGCCTGCAGGGCATGCAAGATACATACACCCATTCAGGAGTAGAGAGGTGCCTTGCCCCAGTGTGGTTTGCCACAACCTCCTTGCTCTGCTCGCATACCTTTCGCTGGATCCGTGTGAGCAGGCTCTGCCCAGTGACCCGACGTGTGTCGCTGTCCCACTCGAACTGGAAGAAATCGAGGGCGACGAGCGCCTCGATGAAGGTGTCCTTCGTGATGGCCGTGACTATGTCGGGCTCGGGGCGCAGCACCACTTCAGCGGTGCGCCTGCTGACCAGCCCATCTAAGCAGATCTCGCCCTCCTGGCCCTCTATGAACGGGCCGTCTAACATCTGCAGGAATACAGACCACCAGAATGCATCAGCGATCTGCCTCCCACCCTCGTACCCTTCTTCCTCACCGACTCGAAGTACTTGAACAGCCGCGCGACGCTCTCCTTGATGACGAGTGGCGCACCTGCCGCTCCGTCACCCGCAAAGCGAATCGTCAGGTCGCGCTCTACCAGTGCCATTATGAGTCAAACCTGCCACGAACGCACAGCAGTCACACGGAATGCCATCGCTGACGCTATATCTTACGCTATCAGCCCCTTCCAGTCCTCAGTAACTTCTTCTTCCAAGCTCGCACGATAAGAGAATTCTCGACGAGACGGCCAGCTTCCAACTTTTTTGTGTGATCCTTGGGATTAACGCAGGACGTCCATCTGTGTGGCGTACTGGCGTACCTTCCCATGTGGTGCGTCCGCGCCCTTCCCGAGGAGCTTGTCGCAGCTGTGACCCCGCACTACCGCCATGTGGTCATCGACACCTCCGCGGGGGAGGCCTTCCTCAGAGACAAACTTGAGATATCAGAGCGGGAGGCCATGCAGTGGGGCAGGCGCCTGACGAACCTGACCACACTGACCGTTCGTCGCGACCGCCGGTCGCGGCGCTTCGACGATCTCAACTCGCTGTTGCAAGGACACGTTGAGGGGCGCAGGGAGATGATCGAGACGAAGCGGCGTGATGCGGAGGAGTCAGGCCGAGACCCTGCTTCATCAGCTCTACTTCCCGACGGGAGCCTGACCACTATCAATGGGTACTTCCCATGTGAGGGCGGCCAGCGTGGCCCTCTCCCCCATATTCACGCTCTCACCAGCATCGTCAACCTGCCGTCTGATGCCATCGGTCTTGCTGACTGCTTCGAGATGCCATCCCTCGAAACCCTCACTCTCGTGCCGGAAGATCTGTCAGGCTTTGTTGGTTCCGCGGACGTGATCCGTTTCTTCCAGCACTCTACTCGCAGACCGACCCACTTGCCTGGCTTGGATACCCCTCAGGAGAAGGCAGCGCTCTTCAAGTCGTTTGCGGCAAACTGGCGCGGCGATGGAGGCGAGAATGGAAGGCTATTTGCACGGCTGGCAAGTATCGGCAGTCTGGATCTCAAGAGCGATCCTTTGGAAACTGAGAATGCAATGGTGGAGCTCAAGGTAGGTTGCAAAGTGTAGTCAGCGTATCGATTCTTGCCTCCCTCCCATTTGAGCATGATATACCCGTGATCAAAAAATGCCCTTTCTTCTTTTTCTCTACAGGATGTCTTGACGCGTGGTGGATGTGCGACATCTCTTGAGGACCTCTCAATCAGCCTCCCAGCAGAAATGTTTGATCTCTTCTCTTGAGAACTTCCACTCCACCCTCTGCCGACCATATATGTCAGCCCCGAACATTAGCTCTCTCCTCTCACCCACGGTGATGGACCTGGGTTCCCTCCTGCCGACTGAGACAGACAGACAGACAATTTGGCGACTTCAAACCAAAACAGAGGTATGCAGAGACACACACAGACCAAAAGACGCTTACGATGAATCCATGGCGACATGGCGAGCTCCACTCACTCACCTTGTCCATCATTGCGTGTCCTTGGCATTAATGCAGGACGTCTCCCATCTGGCTGGTGTCTTTGACAAGGATTGTTCCGGAGCACAGGGCGGAGACTCGCCACTGGTACGCATAGACAATGCACATGACCTGCAGATGTGCTCGCTCTTGATCTCTGTTTCTTCAGGCTCTTCAGCGTAGGGACAGCAGAGAGCTCACGGTCTCGGGTGGCACTGTCGAGCCGAGAAACCTGCGGACTGAAGGACGGCTCCAAACACTTGCATTCTCCAAGCAGAAGCTACTGCAGCTGTCGAGAATGCCATCCCTTGAATCCCTCACTTTCGCGCCGGGATACCTGTCAGAGAGTTCTTCGGCAGGCGTGATGCACTTCTTCCGCCACTCTACTCGCACGCCGACCCACTTGCCAGGCCTTGCAGCTCCTCAGGAGAAGGCAGCGCTCTTCACGTCCTTTGCGGCGAAGTGGTCGGGCGACGGCGTTGAGGACGGGCAACCCTTTGCACGGCTGGCGAGCATCGGCACTCTGATGCTCGAGGGGGATCCAGGGCTCATTTGGAGTGCATTTGTTGCGCTCAAGGTAAACCAAATGCAGTCAGCGTGTCGCGTGCCTTTTTACTTGCACACTTGTTTGCTTGCTTTCAGAACGTCTTGACGCGTGGTGGGTGTGTGGCTTCTCTTGAGGGCCTCCCAATCCTCGTCCTCAGAGACATATTTGATGCGGCGTGGCCGACCAGGAATCTCAGCCCTGCCCGATTGCTTCCCTCGGGCTGAATGCAGGCTGACGCTGTCCAGCCGCCTCGGCTGCCGGATCGCCTGCCAGCTGGCCAGCAAACTCAAGTGCGCCGATTTGATATGTCGTGGCGTGACGGCCAGCCAGGCCCTACGTGTGCTCGAGGCCAGCGTCGAGAGCGAATTGACGTACGCGAATCTGGGGGTGGAGGATGTGGGAGCTGAGGGCATCACGTGGGGTGACAAAGCGGACAATCTGCCGCCGGTTGGGTTGCTCATCATCAGCATCACAGGTGAGTGAGGGAAGGGATGGTTGGGTGACGTGTTGGGTGTGTATATGTCTGTATGTGTTCGTGCATGCAGTACCGGAGGATGTAGACGCAGCCAGTGTGGGCAATCTGACGTCGACATCGCTGCTGCGTCTGAGAGGCTTGCGTCGCCTTCAGCTCAGCGTCAACGACCAGATCTTCGGCAAACCAGTCCATGAGCGGCAGTGACGGCAGTTCGTGCACTTCACCTCCCTCGATGTCCTGCTCTTCCGTCGCCTCGACCGCCACGGCTCTCGCCAAGAATACCGGTGAGCTAGTGAACACAGCCCTCAACCTGCACCCATGACTATGTCTCATATCGTAAATGTCTCTGTGCTGACTGGATCAGGTTCCCAGGGCTCACCGAATATCGTCATTTCGCCCGACAAGACGGTCACCCACGACAAGCCGCCCTCGGCTGACAAAGCTGAGGGTTCTATGCCACGGACGCCCTTCAACACGCTGCCGTCTCCTTGCGCCCAGCGCAGCGCCGTCAACCTGCCCGACAAGGCCAACAACAACCTGACATCCAGCAGCTCGGCCAGCGTCCGCCCCCTGCCGGCATTCTTCCAGGGGCTGCCCGCCGAGGAACGGTCAGCCGCTCGCCGTCTGCTACCCTGTGTTGGTTGGTGTCTGCTGGCACGGTTCGAGCTGGAGAGTGACGTCATCGACAGGGGGACGGTGACGGTGCTGCGGTGACGATGTGGAGGGCGGCTTCAGATTCGTCTATCTCCTGGATCAAGGCACTGGCGAGGAATGGCGGGCAATGGGTCAGTTCCTTCGGCTGGCATTCATCTATCGGCTGACCACGCGGCCCCTGCAGATATCGGCCGACTCGCTGCCCACAGCAACAGCCTTACATCACTTGCCCCTGATCTTGGCCATCTACAAGACCTTTGGCCACCGCCTCACCTACCAGGGGACCAGCCTGCAGCTGCAACAGAACAACGACGGTACCTTTAATGTCCGACGGTACTGAGCTGCCGGCCGGCCATCGCTATCGCCTTCATCCGCTGGGCCGGCTGCCTCTGCCCCTGCATCTCGTCATACCTGGTGTTCATGCTGCTCAGCTTGTGTCTCAGACAAGCTTCTCTGCGACAGCCCACAAAGCGAGGTATGATGGAGAGTGCGACAAGGGCGGAGGAAAGAGAGACATGGCGTCGTGTGTGGTGATTGATTATGTGTGTGTGTGTGCTTGTTGGTCAGGGGCCATCGATCGGTGCCTACATTTTATATCCGAGAGTCTTTTTCAACCGAGCATGCAGAGTAGCTCCTCTCTCATGTGCGACTGATTTTGTGTTGAATGTTGGAGGAGACAGCTGCTGGTGGAGCTTGTAAGTGATTGATTGACGTGACCGACCCTGTCCAACGTGTGAAGGGAACCGATCCATATCTGTCTCTCTCATAGACGGTCATGCAGACGAGCCCACACCCCTACACGACGCGCACGACTCGGGTCCATGGACATGGGTACAGTCCAGAATGGATATATGAAGCTATTCATTGCCGGCCGGGCTCGAGGGACCTTTCTCCCCTCTTGATTACCGGCCCCAATGAATTATCAGCAAGCAGGAACATCCATCCATCCATCCACCCACCCAGCCAAGAGAGTTAATGGCCATATCCATCTGCAAAACACCATTAATACACGTCTCCCTGCCTGCCCGCCTGCCTGCCTGACTGCCTAACTGAGTACAGTATGACAGGTCTATGGATCCACGAACGTACACATAGATATACGTCGGCTACACCTTGCCAAGCTACGGCGCACGCGGGCGCCACTTAGCACCCACACCTGCTTGCTTACTAGACTTACCCACGTGCATATGATGCATATCGCACTTGCTTGCAAAAGGCCCCGCCAAGCACACGACTCACCATCCCAAGCGCCCCCCACTACACCCTTCGCCGCTTGATGCCTGTTTGTCACTGCCCATCCATCGACCGCTTGAAGCCGCCCTCGTGTTTCCGCTTCTTCTTGTGTGACACTGATGCGGCAGCGGAGGGAACGCGATACGCTCGGCGAGGTCGAGGGCCGCAATACCAGCACTGAGGTACAGATACAGCCACACATCGGATGGGGGAGAAAGGGAGGGAGGGATGAATGAAGGAGTGATGCTTCCTCACCTCGAGGATGTTCTCGCATCGGGCTATCTGCTCAGCGATGCTTGCTCTCGCCATCCGTGTCAGCGCAATCAGAGAACACTGCAACACAGAGAGACACACATACACACATCGGCCGGTGTGGTTCATTAGTCACGACTGCGTCCTCCATCCATCCATCTGGTCACATACCTCTGCTCATCGCCGCCGCTCGATGACACGTGTGTGTCGGTGTTCGACGCGTCAGGCTTGATGTAGATGTATGCCGTGTGCCGGTCGCCACACAAACCAAAACTGGACACAGATACCGACATACACACAGTAGAGAGATGCCGTCGGTCTCAGTGTGTGGGCGTGTGCACCGCACTTACTCCTGGATGCCCGCCCAGAGCCAATGTCCAGCAGCCACAGAGTCCTGATAAGCAACAGACACACAAGCAACCATCGTCGGTCGCGCCACACCATTGCTGCTGCCCTGCCCTGCCCTGCCCACCTCGCCCATTTGCCCTGTAGTTCTGAGGATCTTGGGCAGGCGGGAGCAGACTGCCCTCACTGTTCTCCCATACACCCCTGAACATGGCACAACAAAACAATGAGTGAGCCACAAGCAATGCTGGACGCTTCTCCACAAAAGATCTCCTCGTGATCATACAAGGGGGCATCCGGACAAGACATGCGATTCCAGAGACAAGGTATATGAAAAACGTCAAAGCTCGCATCGGAATTGCCGACAAGCTCGCAGTTGCTGATCCGGGATCCCTGGCGCAGGAGCAGGGAACGCCTCACCGCTATGAGCCGCACACAGGCATAGCCGAAAGGACGCCCTCGTTGTGCGAGATCCCGCTGGAGCACCACGGGAGATCTGTGTGGTTACCGGAAGCCGTTCACGAGGCCAACGTGACCCCACCGAGCGACGGAGGGTCCGTCGGGTGGGCGAGGAAGCTTCTCCACGATGTGTGCGTACCGGTTGGAGGAGATGGGGTCGCTCCCCGAATACTTCATGAAGCAGTGCCGTCCACTCAACCAGCGCATCGCTTCGGACCACGTCCTCATCGACGAGGCCTTCGAAAAGGTACACAGACGCATTGGGGAGGGAGGAAGGGAGGGAGGGAGGGAAGGAGCCGGTGTGACGTGTGTGTGTCGGTTGTCACCTGATCTGATCTATCTATCAGGTGTGGGAGTTTCCGCAGACGACGATTCGCGAGCGGAAGGTGACTCGGGGCAATGACTTCGTCGGCGACGTGCGGCTCGACTTCGAGTACAAGTAAGGCCCGCTTGACAAGAGAGAGACCACACTGAGTCAGCTCCACGACCACACACCAGCCAATATCTGCCTGCCTGTCTGTCTGTCTGTGTTGTATCCCTCCCTCCCTCCCTCCCTCCTTGGCCGTTCAGTGGCGCCGAGCGGACGCTGTGTCGCGTGTGCGGCAAGCACGTGTTGAAGCAGAAGTTCGCGACAAATCACTACCAGAACTCCTGGGGGTGCTGGCTGGAGGTGGTTCGCAGACTGAACATTCCCGAGAACGAGCGGTCGCCCGAGCCCCCCTCCCCCGCCCCACCCCCTCCCTCCCCCTCAGCCCAGAGCTCCACCGGCCGGTCAAAGCGCCGCCACGCATCCCTCGACCCCACTGAAGTCATCGACGGGATGGTGACCTCCGAGGCACACAGTCTGTATGAGAAGGCACACGTGTCGGCCACACAGGAGCTGCTCAACTATGCTGCTGCTGCTGCCGCTGCTGCTGCCGGGGCTGCTGAAGGGGGTCAGTGTCCCCCTGCTGCCCGGTACGAGGACAGTGTGTATGTGGATACGCTGCTGGAGGGCAACCCGACGATCGACCCCTTCTTCCGCGTCGAGATGTTCTTCCCCAACGCCATGGTGGCCAACAGATCCAGCAACTTCAACTACTCATACATCAAACTCAGGTACGTCGCGACACCCACAGCTTATCGCTGGTTCGTTCATGTGGTGCCTCATGTGTGTCAGGTTCAACCGTGCTGGTGCCCACTTCCTGCGGCATCTGTTTGTCGACGATCACGAGTTCCTCATCGACTTCGGTGACGGCATCCTGGCACAGGGCCGGCGCTTCACGCTCCGCGAGGCCGACCCGCAGCAGCTCAGCAGCAACCACGACGACCCCGACTTCGACAGCGTGGTCAACCAGGGCTTCGCCTTCATCCGTACAGTCGTGCCGCAGAAGCCGCCCGGCTCAGTGAGGATCCGAGTGCGCATCCCGCAGAACACCTGCCACTACTACGAGGCCATGGCGCCCGAGGGCATGGTGTTCTCCTACCAGACGGCAGAGGAGTACTGCCAGAGCAGCCTCCCCGCCTCCCTCCTCCCCCACCACCCTCCCATCATCCAGCTGTCGACCAGCGGCGGCTCATCGTCGCCCTCGCCCAGCGCGCCCAGCGACACCCGCACGCCCGTCGCGCAACCATGGTCGCCATCGACACCCATCCCCTCACCCCAACAGACGCGCGGCAACACGCTGCAGCCCCCGGGCACGTTGCTGCAGGGTGTGAGAAGCGTGCCCGGGTCGCCCTCCACGTCCCCCCTCCACCGCAACAACAACAACAACAACAACAACAACGGGCCGGCCTTCCCCCGGATCAGCAACATCAGCGACCTCATGGGCCACCTGCCCATCGACCCGACGATCTTCCCAATATCGCGCGCCAAGTCGGCGCCCCCGGGGAGCCCCGTCGGCTCACGATCGCCCGTGGGCAGTCCCCGGATGGTGAGGAGACGCATCGAGATGGCGTCCGACGGCGGTGCGGACACGCCGCCCGTCATGGGCGTCAACCACCACGAGCACGTGCCGCAGCTGTCGGTGCTGCCGCCCCCTGCCGATGGACCCCTGCAGGAGCTCTCCGCGCCGCCCACCTCGCCGTTCCTGCAGATGCAGCACGTCCAGGCCGCCCTGCAGCTGCAGCAGCAGCAGCTGGCACCGGAGCAAGAGATGATGCAGCCATACACAGGTGAGAAAAGGGGAAAAAAAACACAAGGCAGAGAATGGCAAGAAAATCTTTGTCCGTCATTACCTCTACCGTGCGTGTGTGCACACGTGTGCAGGAGAGGACATGCACACCAAGGTGGCTGGTGGCTCATCGTACGGCCGGCCGCTGCCCTACATCAAGTCAGAGTATGTGGGGGACGAGGAGGAGGACGACCACATGGCGCTCGACGTGGGCACCATGATCGGCCCCATCGTCCCCACACTCCCCACCTCCCCTCCGTCCATCGACCACCGCATCGGCGCGCCCGCCATCGGCTACGGTGAGGGCGACGACGACCGTGGGGCGTTCGAGCAGCACCGCGTGAGCTTCCAGACAGAAGCAGGGGACGAGCGCATGGATGGCGGCATGGAGTGAGGGAGATGGAGGGGAGGGGGAGTGGCTATATAGACGAGTGCATATCTGGGTGTAGTTGATGTGGCTGTCTGTCTGTCTGGCTGGCTGCCTGCCTGTGTGTGCGTGTTGTTATGTGTACGTGTGTTGTGGTGCGCTGTGTATGTCTGTACGTATCTATCGTATTTCGTCAGGCCAATCGAGACAGCTTGCTCTCCAGATAGTCGATGCTGGGCAGGCTGCCTCGAGTGTGCCGATTTTTGTAATTAAACAACCCCTCTCACTCACTCATCCGGTGGCTGGCTGATACACATGTGGCTTGGCTGACAGAGTGGTGTCGTTGTCTAAGAAACGAACGAATGGATGGATGGATGGATGGAAGCGTGTGTGTATGTCTGTCTGGCCGCTCACATCATCCACGGGGGGAGCGTCATCAGAGAGCTAATTCTCTCAACAAGTGGTAGCGCAGCGCCGACCTCCGTCGCAAAGCGTGGCTGGTCTACAGTTCTGCGCTGTGCTGCGTTGGCGGTAGTGGGCTACCACTGTGGCGGATGCAGCTCAATGGACGGACGGCTGGAAGGACCATCATATGGGGGGCTTTTGTCAGTTTCTCGGACGGACGGAGAGAGAACGACACGACTGATGATGACTCGCCTCGTGTTGATGGATGGGGGGATGGATGAATGGATGTATGTGGTGCGTGTGGTGTGATGTGATCTTTATGGTGACGAGTGTGCGCGCGCGAGCCAGCCTGCACTTCCTCTGCTTCCCTGCCTGTCTGCCTCCCTGTCTGCCTGCCTGCCAGAACGAACCAACGAACGAACAAACGAAGGAAGAAGGCCGTTTTTCGTGCGGCAACTGTTTTCGCTCCCTTGTTGTTTGTCAAGCCACACATAAACATATCGATTACTGTCTTCTTACCACTAACTGTCTACTGAACACAGCAAGAGCGAGTGCGTGAGCGAGTGCCTTCATGCATGGATGGCTTAAAGGTTCTTTATCCAAATGGGGGAGGAGGAGACAGGCAGCCCAGCCCAGCCCAGCCCTTTTCTGCCGATGACGAACGGCTGTTTGTTTTTACAGGCAGGCAGCAAACACAAAGATGACAGCAGCAGCAGCGAGCGAGCGAGGGGGCTGGGGCTGGGGCTGAGATGCGATTAGTCATATTTGTGGCCGGTGGCTGCCCCCCCCGTCCGGCGGAAAATAGGACGACTCGTCATGTGTTGCGTGTGTGTGTACAGCTTGATAAATGGATGGATGGATGGAAGATGGTGCTGACCGGCACCCTCCCTCCCTACCATTCATTACAGACAGACCGGCAATGAGTGGCGGCGTGACTGTGACTGACTGACGGTGATCGATATCATAGCAATGCATAGGTAAGTATCTCTCCGTGCTATGTATGTTACATCATGCTGATGGATGGATGGATGGATGCGTGTGAGTGTGAGTGTGGGTGTGAGTGAGTGATGCGCTGGGGTGGGGAGAACAGCTGACTGACTGACGGTAGGTATCGATTACGGGGGTGTGGTACCAATATGGCGGGCGGGGAAAGGGATACATATGTGTGTGTGTGTGTGTGTGTGTGTGTCATGCTCTCGCTCTCATGACGGACCGGGGCAATCTATCTGTGTGTATGGTGTGGTGTGGCCGAATCGCTTTCTGAATGACTATGTATATCAAGTCTTTATCTATTTCTCCGTGGCATGGCTGCTGGGCCCCTTCTCGGGTTCTTTTTCCCTCCCTATCTCTCTGCATCATTCAGTCATCGCATTCAGTGTCTGCCTGCCTGCCTGTCTGTCTGTCTATGTCTGCATGTCTGTGTATCGGTCACTCACTCACTCACCGGGCGCTTTCGTCCTGCCTGCGTTGCTGACTGGATGAATGGATGGATGGATGGATGGACATCGGTGGCACACCAGCAAGACTTCCACCGGTTTTCGTGTGGCTGACAGCTCAGCTCCGTGGCATATGATGACTCAGTCTGGCACTGGCTGTGTCCTTGTGTGTGTTATCTATGTGGTCTGTGTGGCGTGGTCGGTTGCCTACCTGCCTGCCGAAGGGCTGGGGAGTAAGGACCAACCAACGTGTTTGCTTGAATTGAATCCCATCTTCACTTCCGGCCTCACAAAAGTTTACGTGCCGCCCGAAATCTAAGCGGTGGATGCTGGAGGTCCTTTCATTCATCGACACGAATCGCATCGCGTGACTAGCTGAGGCTTTCTGAGAGGAGCTCGAGGGCGTGCTGTGCCGGGTGACCGCGCATACACATACAGATGACGCACAAACCTGACCCTGAGGTGGGTACCGTAGGCACACAGCACGGCTGCCATGGATATATGACGCCACACACACGACGCCACGCTCAGTGCCCTCCCTGACGTCTTGGAGCATTTTGTGTGTGTGTGTGTGGTTGCAGGTGGACTATGCCCCGACTGGCCGGGCGAGCTGCCAGGTAGGTACGCAGACAGACACACAGACAGACAGACACACAGACAGACAGACAGGCACACAGATGGATGGATGGACAGAGAGCATCTCATCATCCCCAACACCACCCCGCATAGCTCCCTTCCTTCGTCCATTCCTTCGTCCATTCATTCCTTCAGTTGTGCGGCTTGGCCATTCAGCAGGGCGCCCTGCGGCTGAATGTCCCGAAGCGCAGCGACTTCCACGACGGGTTCGACGACAAGTTCTACCACACCAAATGCGCCATACCCAAACTCGCAAAAGACATCAACTCACTCAAAGGTGATGCAGGCCGACCTGACGGGCCTGTGGGCGTGTGCGGGTGTCTGTGTCTGTGTCTGTCCATTTGCCATCGGTCCTGGTGTGGTGTTGTGTGTGTTGTGTTGTGCAGGTTGGCAGGCAGTGCGCTGGGCAGACGCAGTGTCGGTGGCCGAGCGGTTCGACAAACACATCGACGAGAACCAGTGAGTGAGAGGGCCGGGAGGCCGGGAGGAGGCCGGGAGGGGGGCACACCGCCCCCTCCATCCATCCATCCATCCATCCATCCAATGATATGTGTGTGGTGTGCGTGTTAGTCCGAGTGTTCGTCCCATCAAGGAGGCCAGCGAGCTGATGTGGTCGCTCGCAACGGTCCTGCAGGCCAAGAAGATGAACGTCCTCGAGCCGCTGCTGCAGTCCAATGGCCTCTTCTACATTGAAAAGAAAACCAAAGTGAGTTCTCACTTACAGAGAAGAAACACACACATGGATACGTTGCCAATCGTCTGTGTCTGTGTGTCTGTGTCTGTGTGTGTGTCTGTGTGTGTGTGTGTGTGTGGTGCAGCCGGCCCAGGCCGCGCTGTACGTTGCCGACGCGGTGGTGTTTGGGCTGCTCCCCAAGTGTCCCATATGCGACTGCAGAGCCCTCATGCAGGTAGGCAACAGCCACGCACCAACAAGCCGCCCATTCTGTGTTGCCTGCCGTTGTTTGTGTGTCCGTGTGTCTGTGGTGTCTGTGTGGGCTTCATTTAGGAGGGCGGCACCATCCGCTGCCGCGGCTACGTCAGCGGCGCCACCAAATGCGACTTCAAGTGACATACACACACAAATGAATGAATGCCGATCTATGCCGATCTGTGACGTGCACACACACACACACACACCCCTCTACCTCTCCACAGGTATGTGTTGGTGGACTTGTGTGACCCCGACACGCCCTACGACAACTCCGCCACCGGCGTCAAGGACCCCTCAGACCTCGAACGCACCGAGCCCTTCAAATTCACCGTACGTCAGGCACACCACAGCACACCCCCACAGCAAACCTCAGACATCACACGCACACGGACTGTGTGGGTGTAGAATGAGGCGAAGCGCATGGCCGTGTTCACCAAGGAGTGGAAGCAGCCCAAGACCTACCCAGCCAAACAGAAGTGGGGGGACCCCTGGGGCGGCGCAGGGGGCGGTGGTGGTGGTGGTGGTGCGGCCGCCGCTGCTGCTGCTGGGGGTGCCGGGGGAGGGAAGGGGTACGTTCGCGCGTGTGTGTGTGCCGTGCCAGTCAGGAAGCAAAAGACACAGAGGAGAGGCAGGAAATAAGGACATGTACATTTGTGTGCAGGAGAGGGAAGCGTGGCGGCGGTGAGGCGGGCGAGCCGGCAGCTGCCGCTGCCGCTGCCGTCGTATACGATTCTGAGGATGAGGTATCCCATCCACACCTGCTTGATGCTTGTATGGATGTCACTTGTGTGTGTGCGTGTGTGTGTGTGTGTGTGTAGGATTTGTCAGAGGTGCCGGAGGGTAGCGAGATGATCGGGATGCGGTTCAGCTTCATCGGCAGCTTCAGCAACCCCAAGAGGCCACACCTCATGAAGAAGGTCGAGCAGCACGGCGGAGAAGTAGAGTAAGCATCCACAGCACACACAGCCATCCATCCATCCATCCATCCATTTGTGTGTATGTGTGTTTGCTTCCACCCGCACACACACACACGCAGGGAGAAGACGTGTGGCCCCTCTGTTACCCATCTGGTTGCCGCGAGCCGTGCCTCGTCCAAGACGGCCCGGTGGAAGGAGGCCGAGGACCTCAACATTCCTATCGTAGTGGTAGGCACACACCCGCACCTAGCCCCTCCCCC